TTTTTTATTGTTATTTTCAGGTGTACAGAATGAATTGTACCCTTTAAATGGTGAATTATATGGTATGTGAATTATATCTCAGTCAAGCTGATACACACACACACAGACACACAGATACACACACAGACACACACACACATTTATATATACGAGTATGTTAAATGTGTTGAACTTGAGAAACTGCCAAACTGTTTTCCAGTGTGACTATTACATTTTGCATTTCCACCAGCAATGTATGAGTCCCAGTTGCGCTGTATCTTTGCCAGCACTTGGTGGGATTCTTTTCTTTCTCTCCTTTTTTATTGTTTTTTTTTTAATTGAGATATAATTTGCATACCATAAATTCAGTCTTTTAAAGCATACAAATGAATGGTTTTTAGTATATTCACAGAGTTGTTCAACCATCACCACTAATTCCAGAACATTTTCATCACCCCAAAAAGAAACCCCATAGTATTAGCACTCACTTCCACTTCCTCCTTAGCCCTCTGCAGTCCTAGGCAACCACTAATATGCTTTCTTATTTTGTCCAGAATTCTTCATCATGTCCCATTTTCATTTTGCTTCTGTGACAATTGCTGTTCTGTAACACTGATACATTCATTCATTGTTTCTGTAAATGGTTTGTTGAGTGCCCGCTACATGTGAGACATTATTCTAGAGGGGGAAACATGACAGACGGGGTCACTGTCATGTTTACATTGGAGCTTATATTCCAGAGCAACTTTGTCCCATAGAACTAGAACTTTTTGCAATAAGGGAAATGTCCAATAGTCCATGTTGTCCAGTGCAGTAGTCAGCAGACACGTGTAGCTATTGAGCACTTGTGTGACTGAGGAACTTATTTTTTATCTTACTTAAATTTAAAGTGGTTATTGGCTGCCATATTGGACACTGCAGTTCTAGATTATGTGTGTTCTTGTGTGTGGGGGGGGGAGAAGTGACAGATAATATACACATTAACAATAGGAATAAGATAATTTCAAAAAATAATGCTTTGAAGAAAAAGATCCAGAGCTTATAAGGTGCTGGGATGGGGGCCCTGCTATTTTTGTTTTAGCTCAGATGATTCAGTAGGGACTACCTGAGGACATAGGAGCTGAGAGCAGAAAGAGGAGGAGAAGGCAGTCTTATCCATAAGAAAATCCAGGGAAGGAACATTTCAGGCAGAGGAAACAGCCTAAGCAAAGACCACAAGACAGAAGTGAGCTTGGCACCTGGAAGAGATGGATAGAAGGCTAGAGACTAGAGAATGAAGGGGTGAGGCAGGAGGTGAGGTTGGGAGGTAGGGAGTCAGACCACCTGGGCCCCTAGGCTGTGGTGCGGAGTTAGGATTTTATCCTAAGTACAGTGGACAGCTAGTGGGAGTGCTAACAACCTAAGTACCATTTCCACAGCAGGTGCGAGTAGTGGGTAAATGGGTGGGTCTGCCCGCCCAGTGGTCCTTGAGTCCTGGCTCATGAGAGTTAGCCAATAGTCTCGGTAGGTTCTCCATTCCTTAGTCTTCTGTAGCATGCAGAGGTACAGGCTGAGGTAGGGGAGGTCTCCCCTGACTGCAGTGTGCATGTGCTGAGGGGCCCCTGGAGCCCAAGCGGCCCGTATTGCCCGGGAGGGACGTGTCAGTGAATGGCAGTGGCAGTATGGTCAGTAGCTGGGGATATGGGCCGTGGCATGTAGCAGATCTAGGTTTTAATCCTGCCTGAGTGTCTTCATCCATCAAAAGGGAATAATAATCGTGCCTCACTTCTTGGGCTAGGCTAAGATGCAGTGAGATGGTGTGTGTAAGGGGGATATCCTGGTGCATGGCATACAGTGAGCACTTAACTACTTGTCAACCACTATCATGTGGGGTCTGGGAAAGTATAAATGCAGGGATGTGGGGAGTGGCCTGCTGGCCCATGAGGGAAACTGCTGGGTCCTGTGTGTCACTCTGGCTCTCTCTCTCCCCAGGGTTACTTCCCTCCAAAAGCCATTGAGATAACACGGAAGAAGCCTTCCTGGAGGACGGAGCAGGAGATCCAGGCTCTCTGTAACCTCTTGCAGGTTCTGGGTAGCTACCGGAACTACTCAGAGCCTCTGCAGCTGCTCCTGGCTAAAGTCATGCGCTTTGAAAGGTCAGTGAGGGGCACACCCCTTGGCCGCTGGGCTGGGGCTGGGCTGGGCAGGAAGAACCCGGCTGAGAAGGCCATGGCAGGTTTGCTGGTCTCTCTACAGAGTGCCAGCCATGGAACGCCATCTGTCAGTTCACCTTAGCACTCACTGTTAGGGTTGCAGCACAGTTTATCTCATCCATTTATTGAGAGTCTTCCCAGAATTAAGGAGCCACTGAATCTGAAGAGAATCTGGTAGGAACTTCGGAAAGGATCTGGTNTCCCAAGCCAGTTCTTAACCATCGCACCACTCGGCCGGCCCCCCCCTAAATTTTTGTAGGGGATCTTCTTGTATTTCCTCCATCAAGATTAGGTCTGTGGTGAAGGAGGCAAAAACTGCACACACTGCTTCTCTCTCTCAGAAACTCTCTTCCTCTGTCTATAAGTCCTTTGCATCCATTCTTCAGGTAAGGGGGGCAAAAAACAGTTCTGTCTATGCTCACCTCTGTAAGTGGTTAGTGTCTCACCCCAGGAGTGGTAGCTTTTTAATTTAGTAATTCAGAGCTTGGGTCTTTGTTCTCAGCTGTCCCTCTGTGTTCACTACATTCAGTGCCCTTCCATTTGGGGTCAGTTGGAGAAGGGTTGGCAGATAGGCCTAGCTGGATTAGAATGGCAAATTCAGTGATACTTGAAGGCATAGTTTTTCGCTGAGGATTCTTGTACAAGCGCAAATTGGGATTATCAACTGCCATCTTTAATCTAGTAGAAGAAAATGCTTTAGACCCTATATTCTTTTCTGCTTTTGAAAGGACCCCAGAGTCATTGAGTTTCAGTCACCAAGTTCCTTTCAACATTTGATACCTCATTTGTTTGAGGACTTCCAATTTGCTGAGTGTCCCTCATATACAGATATTTTAATGAGATTTATAGGACAGTGCCATATACCTACATTCCAGGGTCTCTAAGCTCTAAGTCTCAGAGTGGTCCCCAGGCTGTGGTGTTGGATGCCCTGACCCCAGCTCAGAAGCCTCCTGCTTTCTTTAAGGTGGCCCCATGGCTCTGCCAGTCATTGACCACTTTGAGCCTCAGTCTCCTCATATATGGAGTGGGTGTGAGGTCCCTCACCTTGTGGTAGTAATGAGGATTACCGTATTTTGCCATGTATAATGTGCACTTTTTTGCCCAAATCGGTGAGGGAAAAATAAGGATGTACATTATACGTGGGTAGTACTAATTCCATTTCTATATACATGTTTTTAATTCTTTTATTTATGCTCATGAGTTAAAAGTGTAACTCTAGAAATCAATAATGATATCCGTATGCAAAATAATACTTTGGACTATGATAATCAATTTTGTTGAACTTACGACGAAATTGCACGAACTTGCAATGATCAGGAGTTCTTGACCTTCTATGATGCATAAATATCATAAACTTGTTACCGGTACATAAAATTTCTTGTGCCATAATATGTTAAAAAATAAATGCTAAAATTCCTTTATAAGACAGAAAACAAGTACCTAAATGTAAACAAATAAGAATTTGAATTAAAAAAAAACGAAGCTCCCGCCACTGAGCTACCACTGAGGACTCAGCAGCCTTCCCCTGGAGTCCCCTCACTCCCCAATGCTCCATTCCCCGCTGCCTGCCTTCTCCTGCTGCCACCTTTTGCAGGCCATTTCCACCAAGGAANAGTGCGAGCTCTGAGCAACAGGGTCGCCAGTTCGATTAAAAAAAAAAAATTGTTATTCTGTGAAGGCTGCACCAGAGTGTCAGAGGGCCCATGGCACAAAAAGGACCATGTAAATACTATGTACTAGAGAAGTTTAAGAAGTATGTGTGGAAATATTGCCATTTCCAGGACATTTCAATGGCTTACTGGACAGCCTAGCAGAATATTTCAGGTAAGGCCTGTCTTTGAAAAGATAGGATGTAGGGTCATAGGTTTGTATCCTGTCTTCCTTTATGGAGGTCACAGCTTAGGACATAATCACAACTAATTACAGATTATGACCCTTTATGAGCCATCCAGGATCCATTCCACAGGTAAGAAGCCAGGTAGAGGAGGTAGCTTTCCAAGTGGCTTAACCAAGGGAGTTTCACAGCAGAGGTGGCATTTGAACTGGTAAATTTGACAGGTGGAAGTGTAGACAGGGACATTCGGAACCATCTGCTTTGTCTAGCTCAGCGAAGAAGAATGAGTCACTACTGTCTTAAAGTAAGGTTCCATGGCATGCAGAATGGTGTCATGGAAAGAAAAAGAAGCATGGAGCTAGAAGCTCTGGAATTTAATGCCATGTCTGCCCTACTGTGACCTCAGGCAAACCACTTAACCTTTCTGAGCCTAGAATCCTCATCAGTGAAATGAGGATAACAATATGGATTTTTATATAGATCAAGAGGTGGTGATTGTTAAAGCCAGTTGTTGAATATTGCTAGGACTAGGAATTAGCAGATTATACAGAATCCTTCCAGTTACAAGTGAAAGAAAACGCAGCCCAAGGGAATGCATTGGTAGCTCATGTATCTGAAAAGTCCTGTGATAGTTCTCCAGCTGTAGGTTCAGCTGGATTCAGGGGCTCAAAGTCACCAGAACCCAGTGTCTGTCTGTCTGTCTGTCTCCATCTCTTGGCATTGCATAGCATAAGCCACATTCTCAGCAGGATTCTCTTCTCACGGTGGCGAGATGATTGCTCCAGCCACAGCTCCAAATGTCCATCCTTCTGGTTTTAGTCTATTGGGAAAGAGGGAATAGCTCCTCCCAGCCCCTCAAGTCGGAGCCTTGGGGTTAGTTCTTTCTAAACCAGATTGGCTTTGCTTGAATCATCAGGGGGCAGCGATGCTCTGATTGGGAGTCAAGAAAGGATGTTTCCCCCACAGCAAAATCAGAGTGCAGTTGGTAGAAAAAAGTGACCAGATGGTTGGCAGCAAAAGCAATAGATGTCTGCTATAGGAGATTCAGGTTCTAGTGCTGACTCAAGTGTGACTCACTGCATGACCTTCAGCAAGCCGTGTGCTCCCCAGGCTCCACTTTCCTCAACTCCAAAATGTAGCTTGAGCTACATGGTCTCTGAGGATCTTTCTAGCTCCAGTTCTAGGAGTCTGCACCTGAGTGAACACTGGCTATGCTCTTTTGTCCCCGGGGTCTTTTTTTGTTTGTTTTTCAAGATTTTATTGGGGAATCGGGGAAGGGAACAGTGTTGGGGAATTGGGGAAGGAGAACATTGTGTTTTTCCAGGACCCATCAGCTCCAAGTCAAGTTGTTGTCCTTCGATCTTAGTTGTGGAGGGCTCAGCTCAGCTCCAAGTCCAGTTGCTGCTTTCAATCTAGTTGAGGGGGGATGCAGCCCACCATCCCATACAGGTGTCCAACAGGCAACCTTGTTGTTAGGAGCACGCGCTCTCACCAGCTGAGTCATTTGGCCGCCTGTTGACAGCTCAGTGGCAGCTCAGCTTGGGTGCAGCTCACTGGCCCACATGGGAATTGAACCGGCGATCCTGTTGCTCAGAGCTCGCGCTCTTAACCAACTGTGCCACCCGGCCGGCCCTCCCCAGAGTCTTATTTCTTGGCTGAATGTGCCTGCCTTCTTCCATCTAGTCATTGTCATCTGGGCCATCTCCTCTTTCCTATGTTGACAAAGCCCCTGATTTGTATCTGAACTAGCCCACAGCTGAAGTGAGCCTGAAGCTACTGACTCCAGCCTAATGCTGCCCTCATTCCATCTGTTCTCTGATTCCTGACTCCAGGAGTTTGCCGCAGGGTCACAAGGCCAGTGGGTTCTCTGGAAGCTCAGAAAGGGAGATGCTGCTATGGGCTGAGTCAGGGAGGGCTTCCTGGAGGAGGTAGGATCTGTGCCGGACCTTGAACTCCTTGAAAGAATTTGAATATAGGTGGCTAAGAGAGCAAAGGCCATCCCAGGCAAGGGGAGCAGTATGAACAGATTGATGGAACAAAGGAGTAACACTTGGCCTGTGCAGAGGGTTGGCTCTTCTGCTGCTGGTAGCTCAGTGAGGAGAGGAAGGAGGAAGAGGAGGACCTACTGAGAGAAATGCACAGAGATTGGAGTTGAGGGAAATGGTAGCAGTCTGGAAAACACTAAATCCTTCCATTGAGACACTTCTACAAAGGCCACTGACTCATCAGACCTTGGCAGAGACAAAAGGGCAGACTTTGGGCTCCCCATTGCCTTCTTGGTAAAATCCAAACTTAGCCCAACTTTTGAAGTCCTTTGTGATTGGATTGAGCCAAATTTCTCTCCCACGACTCCCCTGACCTCCTCCCTAGTTTCCATTTCCCCCTCTATTGGAGCTTACGGTCATTCCTTTCAATGAACCGTGCTGCCAGCCACCTCTGTGCCTTTGGACATGTTGGTCCCTCCTGGAATGCTCTTTCATCTCTCCACCTGGATGACTCCAGACATCATCCTAAAGCTTTCTCTGGCTTTCCTAAGCTGGGTTAAGTGCCCCTTCTCTGTGCTTCTCTCTCTTAAAGCATTTTTAAACTTGATTTGCCTCCTGTACTTGACCATAATTTTGAGAACGAAATCTGTGTCCTTTATCATTGTGTTTGACAGTTGGCATTTATTTAACTTATTGAATGAAGGAAGCAAATGAATGAATACTGAAAGAAGTGAGATTTGAGCTTGCATTTGAAATACAGAAACTTCTCTCTGAACTTAGGCACTAACTCCTAGTTTGCTCTGGGCCTGGGTACTTCTACCCTAAGGGCTCCCAGTTGGCTAGTGAGTTCTTGGGGATCATAATAAGATCATTTATCTGTCTCTTTCTAGGCATACTCATCTGCATTTTACAGACAAGAGAAACTGAAGCTCAGAAAGGGGATATGAGTTGTTCAGTGGCACACAGCTAGGGACAGAACCAGGACTGGGATCCTGGTCTGACTCCAAAGCCAGTGCTCTTAATCATTTAGCTACTCACCCACTGCTTTCAGCATTTGTTCATGCATTTATTCCACGACTGTTCATTGAACATTTACGATGTGACGTACCTAAGTAGACTGACAAAGCCTCTGCTCTCAGGAAGCTTCAATCTAACAGAGGTGGGCAACTAGACAAATGTTGGTGAAGAAGTCAAGCTTGATGGGACTGGGACTAGGCTCTTTTGATGTCCCTTCTGGTCCCAGTCTGTGCTTTCATACTCCAGAGCAAAGAGCACAACCAGTCCAGATCTCCCAGCATGGACCGGGCTCTGTGTTGCTCCCAGATCAACTGGCATGGTCTTTTTCCAGGTTTGGTCGCAGGCGTGTGATCATAAAGAAGGGGCGGAGGGGCAACAGCCTTTATTTCATCTACCTGGGCAGAGTCGCAGTGACCGATGATGAAGATGGCAGCAGTGCCTTCCTCGACCCCCACCCGTTTTTGCTGTACAAGGGCGACTGTTTTGGGGTAAGCATGGGGGAAGGGCCTGGCTTCCTGGGGTGGGGTTGGGGTGTGAGAGGACTCCTGATAGAACCTTTCAGCCAGGCCCCATCCTGCCTTATACTCTGTCCTGCCTTGTACTCTTCTGTAAGTCACTACACAGCACCCTTACCTGTCAAATGCCGATTGAGTTGGACCAAGTGATGGCCAAGGCCAACCTCTTCATTTGTGCTGTTTAAGGAGTTTGTTCCCAATATAACCCCTTAGAGAGGCAGCGCCTGCTCAGTGAGCCCTCTCCAGCTTCCTCTCTCTGGTCAGGTCAGCCTGTGGCCTCTGTTTCTGCAGGCAGCATATAAAGAGGGACAAGTGGGCCCACAGAAGGGAGGTGATGAGCAGGAGCACAGAGCAGGCCAGGGATCCTGCAGTGTGGGGAGGAGAGATTTCTGGGGTGTGAGGGTGGAGATGGAGGCAGAAAAGAGGTGGGGAGGGCCGCAAGCAGGAAGCAGGAGGTGGCCTCTCACATGCCTTTGCCCCATCCACCCAACAGGAAGTGGGTCTTCTGAGTTCTTCAGTAAGGAAGTCCACCGTGGTTTGTATGGAAGAAACGGAGTTCTTGGTTGTTGACAAAGAAGATTTTCTTGCTTATAAGCTGGACAAGGAAGTTAAAAAGGATTCTCAGCATCGGTTTGCATTTTTTAGGTACCTCCATCATCAGCTGGTGTCTTCCCCCTGGGTGTTTATTAGGTGCCTAACTTTGCTCCAGGCCTGGTGGGAAACTCTAGGTGCCATTCTCTCTGCCTGAAATGTTGTTTGGCATTCACCTCCCACCCAACTTCTCTGTCTAGCCAACTCCTACTTCAGGTCTTAGCTCAAACATCCCTTCCTTGTGAACCAGCAATACTAGAATGGCTAACATGTACTGAGCACTTGCTGGGCCAGGCAGGGTGCTAAGCCCTTTGGACCACCTGCTTTATCGAATCTCACATTCAGTCCTTTCATTCTCTCCACTTTATGGCTGAGAGAACCAAGACTCAGGATGGGGATGGCCCAGAATGTCTGATTCCGAAGTCCCTGGGCCTCACTGGCCCACCTCACTATCCAACTCCACCTACCCTCACCCAGAATGGAGAGGGTGCCTCCTCATGCTTTTATCATACTGTGTTTCCTTAAAGCCCTATCCAAACTGTAATTCTTTTTTTTTTTTCTTTCCTGCCCATAACCTGAAGTCTACATGGGAACGGGAAGTGCAAGTGTGTTTGGGTGAAAACGAGATGGCAAATGTCATGCGCTTAGTACCCAGTGCCGAGACTGGCTGACGGGGACACAGAAACACAAACATTATTTCCCTGCTTTGTAAGCAATAAGAGTAACTGCTGTGTGGTGGGGAGGAGCCGTCAGGAAAGCTTTGATCGAGATCACCTGTGAGCCTGCTCTGCAGGATTATCACCAGCCCGTTTCTGGTTTCTGCCCAGTGGGACTGCCCAGGGTTTGTGTAAAATGATACATAGGCACAGAGGGAATCAACTTTTCTCGCTAAAGGGTATCGAAGTCTGCATTTCTTTGAAGGGGCCTACTTTCTTTTAGTTTCACTTGCTTCACTTGTGAAATCTGGATTGGACAGGGAGAGATCACTGAGTTTCCTTCCTCAGAGTTGTGACAACAGAGAAAATTATGAAAACGTTTTTCTTTTCCTTTATAATACTGAATAAAAGGTGTTTCTTACAACCTATCTTTTCTCAGCAGCAAGAGGCAGAGGGAAACATTTGCAAATAAAACTGTAATTCTTGATTTACATACTATCTTTACAGTTTATTTTCTCCATCAGACAGTAAGCAGTGTGGCAGCAAGGCCAGATCTGCCCCTTTCACCATTGTAACCCCCATGTTGTCACAGTGCCAGGCACATGGGGGCGCTCATTTAGATATGCTTAGTTACTTGCGTAGGAAAAGAGTGTAAGTCAAATGAGGTATCTGCACTGGCACTGAAAATACAAGTTGTAGGCTGCAGTCTATAGAGAAGCGTGATGGACAGAGGGTCCCTGGAGACTAGAGTTGATAGAGAGCTTCATAAAGGGGCTAGAGCCTGAAAAGGGGGGAATGTAGTCCCCAAGGGAGGAGCAGTTTATTTGTTGGGACAGTGGAAAAATAGGACTGCGTTCCTTCCAGTCTCAGCTCTTAGGCTCATCGGCATGTGCCTCTGGATAGGTCACTTCACTGCTCTGAGCTTTAGTCTCCTGCTCTGTGAAATGGGGTGTTAATGGTTCCTCTCTCCCAAGGTCATTATACGGATCAAATGAGATGATCATGGGAAGTGTGTGGCCCAGGGCTTAGTACATAGTAGGTGCTCCTTCTGTAGTGACCCCACTTTCCTTCTGGTGTCTCCTGACCCTTCTTTGTCGACCCTGTCCCCTTTGATGCCCTCAATGGAACTCAGTGCCTGCTCTAAGGCCTGAGTCACCGAGCTCTGAGCTCATAATCTTTTGGAGCAGAGAAAAATCTAAGGCAATTGCTAGTAGCCCATGGGGTCACATATGAGGGAAGACAAACCCATGTATGTGTTGTGGTGTGTGAGCTCAGGGTAAGAGGCGGCTACTGCAGTGGGCCTTCAGCCACAGGGAACAATCTGGCAAAGAAAAGAAGGATCTAGACACAATGGGCCAGAGGAGATGGGAAGGAATGAGCTGCCCAAACCAAAGGCAGGGCCAGGACTGCTGGGCTGGGGGGCAGAATAGCCGGTGAGCTGAAGGGAGGCACTCTTGGAATGTTCTTGGGAATGGGAATAGCTCAGTGAGCCATAAGGTTCAGGGGAGAGGTTCCTGGAAAAACAGAAATGAGAGAATCCCAGCTGGGGAATTACAGGTGTATTTGAGGAGGAGTAGAGGGGAATGGCTAGAGAGGACTGCCTCGAGAAGAGGGTGGAGGGACCAAAGTGCTATGTGATAGGAGATTGGCTACAGGCTCAGTGATTGGAGGGCATGTGAAGTTTTCCACCTCAGGTAGATATTGGCAAGAGCAGGAGAACATGCTCCTTTTCTGGAAATTGCTAAGAGCTGTGTTCCTTCTGTGATGGAGGGCAATGGATTCTAACAGGCCTTTCCCTTTAGGGAGATGGATCTGTTTCAGTCGTGGTCTGATGAGAAGGTCTGGAAGCTCGTAGCTGTGGGGAATGTGGAGAAGTTCTCATATGGGCAGCTGATCTCAGAAGACTTTGTCGAATCGTCCTCTATCATGTTTCTGTGCAAGGTAAGAGTCTGTGTTGGGGGTGTGAAGCTGGGAAGGGTGTGCCTAATATAATGTTCGTCCTGTGACCAAACAGACAGGGTCTGGGCTCTGTTCCACAATGCTACAATTCACTGCTTTTTCTGTCTCTGTGTTCTAGACACAAAAGGCAAATGCCACCCTCCCTCCCTTAGAGCATTGCTGTGAACTTGAAGATAGAGTTGTTATGTTAGGGCCGACAGGGTACCCATGCCTTGAGCTCATATATGTGTTTATTTACATAAGATACATATTTAAATTAGACATTTGGCTCTTGAAACTTAAGGATGCCAAATCACTTTTTTAAATTACAATCTTTGGGGGCGGCTAGTTAGCTCAGTTGGTTAGAGTGCAGTGCTCAGAACATCAAGGTTGCCATTTTGATCCGCACATGGGCCACTGGGCTGCGCCCTCCACAACTAGATTGTAACAACTACTTGACTTGGAGCTGATGGGTCCTGGAAAAGCACACTGTTCCTCAGTTAAAACAAAACAAAAAACATACATA